TATCGCTCTACAATTGATGTACTGAGTACTATTTTAACAGTGGTATTTCTATATCGCTCTACAATTGATGTATTGAGTACTATATTAACAGTGGTATTTCTATATCGCTCTACAATTGATGTACTGAGTACTATTTTAACAGTGGTATTTCTATATCGCTCTACAATTGATTTATTGAGAACTATTTTAACAGTGGTATTTCTTTATCGCTCTACAATTGATGTATTGAGCACTATTTTAACAGTGGTATTTTATATCGCTCTACAATTGATGTATTGAGCACTATTTTATCAGTGGTATTTCTATATCGCTCTAGAATTGGTGTATTGAGAACTATTTTAACAGTGGTATTTCTATATCGCTCTACAATTGATGTATTGGGTACTATTTTAACAGAGGTATTTCTATATCTCTCTACAATTAATGTATTGAGAACCATTTTAACAGTGGTATTTCTATATCGCTCTACAATTGATGTATTGGGCACTATTTTAACAGTGGTATTTCTATATCGCTCTACAATTGATGTATTGAGCACTATTTTAACAGTGGGATTTCTATATCTCTCTATAATTGATGTATTGAGCACCATTTTAACAGTGGTATTTCTATATCTCTCTATAATTGGTGTATTGAGAACTATTTTAACAGTGGTATTTCTATATCGCTTTACAATTGATGTATTGGGCACTATTTTAGCAATGGGATTTCTATATCACTCTACAATTGATGTATTGAGCACTATTTTAACAGAGGTATTTCTATATCGCTCTACAATTGATGTATTGACCACTATTTTAACAGTGGTATTTCTATAACGCTCTAGAATTGGTGTATTGAGCACTATTTTAACAGTGGTATTTCTATATCGCTCTACAATTGATGTATTGAGCACTATTTTAACAGAGGTATTTCTATATCGCTCTAGAATTGGTGTATTGAGAACTATTTTAACAGTGGTATTTCTATATCGCTCTACAATTGATGTATTGGGCACTATTTTAACAGTGTTATTTCTATATCACTCTACAATTGATGTATAGAGCACTATTTTAACAGTGGTATTTCTATATCACTCTACAATTGATGTATAGAGCACTGTTTTAACAGTGGTATTTCTATATCACTCTACAATTGATGTATTGAACACTATTTTAACAGTGGTATTTCTATATCACTCTACAAGTGATGTATTGGGTACTATTTTAACAGAGGTATTTCTCTACAATTAATGTATTGAGAACCATTTTAACAGTGGTATTTCTATATCGCTCTACAATTGATGTATTGAGCACTATTTTAACAGTGGTATTTCTATATCGCTTTACAATTGACGTATTGGGCATTATTTTAACAGTGGTATTTCTATATCGCTCTACAATTGATGTATTGAGCACTATTTTAACAGCGGTATTTCTATATCGCTCTACAATTGATGTATTGAGCACTATTTTAACAGCGGTATTTCTATATCGCTCTACAATTGATGTATTGAGCACTATTTTAACAGCGGTATTTCTATATCGCTCTACAATTGATGTATTGAGCACTATTTTAACAGTGAAAATATTGTATTATTGTTATATTAACATACTGTAAGTTTATTTTGGGAATATAAACATACACGAAATGCTCAATTTTCAACAAGAGGAACATTTTGACATCCAACTCCAGCCAAGGAAGTAATTAGTCTTAATTTTTACGCCTCCACGAAGGACAGTGTAAGCAATATGATAACTATATAGACTGTTTCTGTCATTGGAATAAAATTGGAGTTTCACGTCCCACTTTCCATCTCTGATTAGGTTGATATAGGCAGACAACATCAATGTGAACACTGTAAGAAGACACATTTTGAAACGACTCTGAGTGATTTTTTTTTCAAGATTCCCAACGAAAAAACCTTACAAGAAAAAAAGACGCTTGCCCGCTATCCCGGCATAGGTCTTACATTCGGATTTTTCAACCCGATTTCCCCTTGTCAGTGATGTAGATAAGAAGGGCTGACATACAAAAAGCGCCTAGTCGTTCGAATGGAACAATAAATCGAGGCCCTTTGTGCTACAGGCTGTGCACGTTAAAGATCCCTCGACAGTTGGAAATTGAAAAAGAACAGGCTAATGCCGCTCACCTGGCAAAATGTCCCTCATTGTACCCTACATGGCGTTACCCTTCTTCATTAGCCCACATGGTGCAGAAAAGTGGGAAGGAAAACTCCATTCATTTCATTTTCATTTTTTTCTTATCTTGCCAATACTTTGTTTTTAATAAAATGTTTGAACGTAAAACTATTCCATTTATTATCATTGTTTGATTTGATCCTTCGTGTTCTCTAAACTGGTTCTCATTATTGTGTTATTTTATTGCTTGAGGATATAAATCAAACTTGTTTTATAGTGATACGCCTACGCAAAAGAGTTTCTCCTAATTGTGTCGGAGAAATATTTTTAACTTTTTTTTCAAAAAGTCAGATTATTATTTTGTTATATATCTTATTGGGCTAATAAAATGAAATGAAGTATTGTATCACGCAGTTCAATACTCTATTGGGTTAACGATATGAAATATAGTTTTACATCCTACTGGTCTGTATCTTATTGGACTAATGAAATGAAATAGAGATTTATATCCTACTGTTCTGTATCTTATTGAGCTAATGAAATGAAATAGAGTTTTATATCCTACTGTTCTGTATCTTATTGGACTAATGAAATGAAATAGAGATTTATATCCTACTGTTCTGTAACTTATTGGACTAATGAAATGAAATAAAGATTTATATCCTACTGTTCTGTATCTTATTGGACTAATGAAATGAAATAGAGATTTATATCCTACTGTTCTGTATCTTATTGGACTAATGAAATGAAATAGAGATTTATATCCTACTGTTCTGTATCTTATTGGACTGATGGAATGAAATAGAGTTTTATATCCTACTGTTCTGTACCATATTGGTCTCGTGAAATTAGATGAAGACGTGCGTCTCTCCTCTCTACTCCTGATGGGTCAATGATGACGCAATGCAGTGTACATTGAGGAAGAAATTTTGACGGGAAATAGTCAATTTTCAATCATTTATAACCATACAGGGAAGTGTTTTTTCCAATTCCAATTTATTTAAATAATAAAAAACAATTTAGAAATAAGATTATCTCGATGGGTCTGTATGTGTTTAAAAAGAAACGCATTTGAACTTGAACTGCACCTCACAATGGTATTATTTTATTCAGTGTTAACAATATTTTGTTTAATCTTGTTTACTGACGTTGTGATTTCTCTTAAATACCTACTGTCCTCGGGGATGATAAAAACATGATACGATATAATATTAAAAATATAAGTTTACTTTAATCTTTAAAAGCTTAGGAGTCGATGTTTCCGTTATGATCCGATTTTAATGGATTAATAACTAAATAATGTTCATAAATGAGATAGATTAAAAAGGATTTAAAAAAATATATTTTACCACTTTTTACAATCCACTTTCCAATCTGCACGGAATATCGGCAAATTTTTAAAAATACGCATGGCTCATTTCATGCCTCTGACATTGCAATCGATGATCTAACGAAATTGTTCTGTAAATCGTTTTCTGTGAAATTTGAGTTTATTTAAATCTGCGAATCAAATCCAATTTTCACCAAAATCTTCTACAGTCTTTATACTTTTAGAGAACTATCGCCATTGGCAAGATCGATCTGAAGTCTACGACTATTACATTTTGAATTGAAAGCGTGACAAATTTTTCCATCCATTTTGAATTTAAGATAAGCTACCCCTGGTTGCTGCCTATATCATTTAATTTAAACCATGGTAACCATGATAACATCTCTATCTCTGTTTCAGGTAACTCGCTAGTATTGATAATAATTTTGAGAAATGCCCGGATGAGAACCAGACCCTATGTATTCTTGGCGAACCTTGCCGTGGCTGACCTTAGTGTGGGTATTTTCTGTGTTTTACCAAGTCTGTCTACGTTTTTATCACCAGTATGGCTGCTAGGAAAGGTAGGTTGATAGAAACTTTCTTTCATCTGTTCAAGGAGTTAGCATACACCTCAAGGTTATATCAGAATTGGCAACCTTTATATTGTGTATCGAAAACATGCATTGTAGGCGTGAGATGAGCTTTTGTGCATTAGGAGAGAACGTTCACAATTGGTCACATGGCAAATGAGCCGTAAAATGAATTAGTCACAATACATGGTCACTTGGTAATTTGGTCACCAAAAATGGCCACAAGGTAAATTGGTCAAATGGTTAAATCTTTCATGGAAGGTTGGTCACAAGATAAATTGGTCAAAAGGTTAAATCTTTCATAGTAAGTTGGTCACAAGGTAAATTAGTCACAGTAATTAGTTGCAAGATAAATTGGTCACAGTATATGGTCACTAGGTGAATTAGTCGCAAGGTAAATTGGTCGCCAGGTAAATTTGTCATAAGATAAATTGGTCACAGTAATTAGTCGCCGGGTAAATTAGTCGCAAGGTAAATTTGTCGCCAGGTAAATTTGCCACAAGGTAAAATACTCACAGTAATTAGTTGCAAGATAAATTGGTCACAAGGCAGATTATTTGCCAGGTAAAATTGTCATAAGATAAATTGGTCACAGTGATTAGCCGAAAGATAAATTGGTCACAGCATTTGGTTTAAAGGTAAATTAGTCACAGTAATTTAGCCACAAGATAAATTGGTCACAGTTATATAGTCACAAGGTACATTAGTCAAAGTATTTGGTCACAAGGCAGATTTTTTAAAATTATTTGGTCAGAGTATATGTCACGGTAATATAGTCGCTAGATAAATTGGTCACAGTTATACAGTCACAAGGTACATTAGTCACAGCATTTGGTCACAAGATTTGTTAACAGTATTATTGTCACAAGGTAAATTAGTCAAAGTATCTGGTCACAAGTCAGATTTGTAAAATTATTTGGTCACAGTAGAGGTCACGGTAATATAGTCGCTAGATAAATTGGTCACAGTTATATGGTCACAAGGTGCATTAGTCACAGTATTTGGTCACAAGATAAATTGATTAAATTAGTCTGGTCACAAGTTAAATTTGTAAAAGTATTTGATCACAAGTTGAATTGGTCACCGTTATATGGTCACAAGGTGCATTAGTCACAGTATTTGGTCACAAGATAAATTGGTCACAATATTATTGTCACAAGGTAAATTGGTCATAGTATTTGGTCACAGGGTAAATTGATTACAGTAATAAGGTCACAAGTTAAATTGGTCAAGGTATAGGTCACGGTTATATGGTCACAAGACACATTGGTCACGGTTATATGGTCACTAGGTAAATTGATTACAGTAATATGGTCACAAGTTAAATTGGTCACGGTATAGGTCACGGTTATATGGTCACACGATACATTGGTCACGGTTATATGGTCACAGGGTAAATTGGTCACAGTTATATGGTCACAAGGTAAATTGATTACAGTAATATGATAGAAGATAAAATGGTCACAAAGATATGGTCACATGATACATTGTCACAGTAATTTGGTCAAATGGAAAATGGGTCATAATAATTTGATTTTTATGTAATTTGGTCACAGTAATTTGGTTACATGGTAAATTGGACATAGTAAATTAGTTTTAAGGTCAATTGGTCCAGTACATTTTCGAATGTGATCATGTGTTTTTAACAAAGTCAATTTTGTTTTACGAAATTATTGACTCAGACAACCATACAGGTTCTTATACCCCAACCTCCAGTGAATTTGTCCGCTTGATGGTAGCACCGTCAGACAGAATATTGCTGTGTGTTGAGACGTACATCGATGATTCATTCTTGTGCTGAAAACTTGCTGAGCACATTCAGCAGTCCTCAGTATTTGAGGCTGTATTGTAAGACGTTTTTTTAAATCATTACTGAAGATAATATATAGTTATGAAAGCTGATATGAGTTTTCCGGGTCAAGATTCGGTTTTATAATCTTAAACAAACTTCCTTGTATAATATCTTGGATTAAAAATAAATCCTTTTCTTAAATATCTCACATCTGTCTGATCGGTTGGAATTTTCACTCCTATAATGATTAATCTTTGATTCGATGGCACAGAAGTAAATATCAGCTAACCGTAGAGTACAATGTTTTTCATTTCCGGGCTTGATTGGGCAAATGAAATTTGATCGAGCGACTTACTCAGTGGCTAATTTAGGAATAGGTCTGTGTCCCCTTACCCTCTCTATGACTAGTGCTCCATGACCCTCTCTATGGCTAGTGTCTCCTGGCCCTCTCTATGACTAGTGCTCCATGACGCTCTCTATGGCTAGTGTCTCCTGGCCCTCTCTATGACTAGGGCCCCTTTACCCTCTCTATGACTAGTGTCTCCTGACCCTCTCTATGACTAGTGTCCCCTTACCCTCTCTATGGCTAGTGTCCCCAGACCCTCTCTGTGACTAGTGTCCCCTGACCCTCTCTATGACTAGTGTCCCCTGACCCTCTCTATGACTAATGCCCTCTAAAATCGACGAAAAGACGCCGGACCCATCGGACGTGGACCCAAAAATAACACATTCAAGTTCATGAAACAAGGAAGTTGATAAAAATAAGAGTAGATCCTCCATTAAATATTATTTAACGCTTTACAAATCTTACAAAAACTGATAAATTTGTATTAAAATGCCTCTTAAAGTTATAATGTTTGTTTTTCTAATGGTCTCGTAATAGATGTTACACATTTCATTCGGACTCAACATCATTTTAGTGACAATGGCTGGAGAATAATTGACTTTATTTCTAGAAAGACTCAATCCATTGGGAACAATTTAAAAGTAATACAAGTAATTTGTGTCGATGAGAATTGAGTAATAGAAAATCAGGAATAAAAGATTCTTTATTTCTTCTGGGACAATGAAATCACGTTACTTATTGACGCGTTCTACTTAAAGTCTAGTCCGAAACTGTATATGTACTCGTTTAATTCTTTTTATATAAATAGGTGGGACCTTATTTCACTTTATTTAAAAAGCTTCGTATGAGTACGTTTTTTTTTTACCTTCAAAACGACCTTGTTATAAGAGATGAGTTGTCCGTACTAATTTCCTCGTGGGTATTCATATACTAGCATCTCTAGAAGCGTGTTGAAAATTCACATGGCATTATGAATTTATTACCTCATTCCCCATGAGAAGGTCTACCTATTAAAATTAAACACGGGAAAATATGTTGGGATAAGAGCAGCTAATTATAGCTCAGATAAGATATGCTTGAGTCGTTACACGACCCGTCTTAAATTTTCTATCTCAGCTAAGGCAATTCTAAGCTAGTAGAAAGTTTCTAGAAAGCAATACATCTATGAGAAAGACATAGAGCTGATTAAAGTCAGTGGGTTTGAGACTATAATCTCAAATAATGTTCAGTGGTTCTTATTGCTCGAGTATATTATGAAA